ACTGCTGGTGCAAGCCGTCTCACTTCCCCCGCGCCCTGCGCTCCCCTCCCCCCACACGCCCCCCCCCACACACACACTACTGGTGGGCATTGCTTTCTCCAACTCCACCCTTCCCTCTCTCCATCTGTGATGGCACTATCTTCTGGTAAGACACACTACACCCAGCCTAAGCTAAATAAAGCACAAGAGTTCAGGAGAAGGATCGGTACTTATCGCCACCGCAGTCACGCGATTCTTTCGTTCCTTCCGTTTCACATCATCCCTCACTTCTGTCGTGGCCACTATGAGCTCGAGCCAGGCACCACAGCAGCAGCAGCAGCAGCAAGTGGCGGATGGGTTGAACAGCGCTGAGCCGGTGAAGCGCCCGCGGCACCCACCGTGGTACCCGCCGGTGTGCGACGACGGCAAGGGCGTGCGTGTGCTCAACTCTCTCACGGAGTGTGTGGAGCCGTTCGCGCCACGCGAGGGGCGGTTGGTGCGGTGGTACACCTGCGGCCCCACCGTGTACGATATCTCGCACATGGGCCACGCCCGCGCGTACCTCACATTTGACATCCTGCGCCGCATCATGGAGGATTACTTTGGCTACAAGGTGGTGTACCAGATGAACATCACCGACATCGACGACAAGATCATCAAGCGGGCTCGCATCGGCGCGCTGCTGAAGAAGTTCCGCGAGGAAACACTCCAGGGGCGCGATGTGGCGCAGCTCAGTGCCTTCACAACGGAGGCAACGGCAGCAGCAGAAAAGGCACTCGCGTCGACGCGCCGCAAATTGTCAGAGCCGCTCCCTGAGGGCACGCCTAGTCGTGCACGGGCTGAGCGGGAGGAGAAATTGATGGAGCTCGCCCTAAAAGAGTCCCAGTTCGGCGAGACGAAGGAGCGCATTGCGGCGGCAACGGCGACGGGCAACTTTGACACCCTCTTTGATGTGGCGGCTGGAGTCAACGGTGACCTCCTGGATGAGCGCGAGGGCCACGGTGTGACGGACCAGAGCATCTTTGAGAACCACGCCCGGCTGTACGAGCGCCTGTTCTTTGAGGACATGCGACGTCTCGGCATCCGCGACCCCGACGTCGTCACGCGTGTCACGGAGTACGTGCCGCAGGTGATTGAGTTCATCGAGAAGATCATGGCGAATGGCTTCGCGTACCGCGGTGCGAGCTCCATCTTCTTCGACACCGCCGCCTTCGCCGCAGCGGGGCATGAATACCCGAAGCTAAAGCCCGTGAGTGAGCGTGAGGAGTGCAACACGACAGAGGCGGAGATGGCGGAGGGTGAGGGCGCGCTGAGTGGCGGTGTCGCTGGTGAAAAGCGCAGCGCCAACGACTTTGCGCTGTGGAAGTTCTCGAAGCCCGGTGAGCCGCGGTGGCCGTCGCCGTGGGGCGATGGGCGGCCGGGGTGGCACATCGAGTGCTCCGTCATGGCGTCCGACATCCTCGGCACCAACATGGATGTGCACAGCGGCGGCTGGGACCTCAAGTTCCCGCACCACGACAACGAGTGTGCGCAGAGTGAGGCGTGCAACATGCAGCATCAGTGGGTGAACTACTTCCTGCACTGCGGGCACCTGCACATCAAGGGGCTGAAGATGAGCAAGAGCCTCAAGAACTTCATCAGTATTCGGCAGGCGCTCGATGAGCTCGGCGTGACGCCGCGTGCGATGCGGCTGCTGTTCCTCGCCAACAACTGGGGGAAGCCCATGAACTTCTCCGACCAGAGCATCGATGAATCGAAAGAGCGTGAGCGTGTGCTGCGTGCCTTCTTTGGCAGCGTTGACATCGTGCTGCGCAAGGATGCGTGGGGTGAGACGCAGGGCTTCAACGCGCACGACCGTCGCCTCAACGAGACGTGGATCGCCGTCGAGGACACCGTGCACCGCGCGCTGCAGAACAACTTCGACACCCCCACCGCGATGGACGCCATCATGGAGCTGGTGAGCACGACAAACCAGTACCTGCTCACCGGCGAGCGGCCGAGCGCGACGCTGGTGCGCAAGGTCGGCCGCTACGTCACGCGCATGATGCAAGTCTTCGGGGTTGTGGAGGGGACCGACGCGATCGGCTTCGCCATGCAGCAGAGCGGCGACGGCGGCGACCGCCTCGTGACTGCCATGGACGCGCTGCTGCGCTTCCGCGACGGTGTGCGTGACGCCGCCAAGGCCGAGAAGAGCACCGGTGTGTTCCTGCCGCTGTGCGACGCGGTGCGGGACGAGTGGCTCNTGGCTCGTGCCCGCCGGCATCCGCATCGAGGACAACCCCAACGGCCCCACCACGTGGAAGAGCGACGACACGGCGGTGCTGCAGCGCGAGATGGCGGAGCGCAAGGCGCAGCAGCTCACCGAGCGGCGCAGGAAGCTGGAGAACCAGATCGAGACGAAGCGGAAGCTGACGGAGAAGTGGCGGCAGTACACGCAGTCGCCGCAGTCGTACCTCAGCGCGCAGGACGCGGAGAAGAAGTTGTACGCCGAGTTCGACGCGGCGACGGGGCTGCCGTCACGCCTCGCGAGTGGGGAGGCGGTGAGCGAGAAGGAGCTGAAGAAGCTTGGCAAGGAGCTCGCAAAGTACACCAAGACATACGACGAGTTCATTGCGAAGGGCGGCGCGGCGTGGCTGGAGGAGCAGGAGAAGGAGCTGGCGGAGCTGCGGCGGGCACTCGAGAGCCTCTGAGGCACGCACGGCTTGTAGCGTTGCCATCTCTCTTTCACTCGCTCCCTCGCTTGCTTCCTCCTCGTTCTCCCTTGGACCCCGATCTGCTGCTGGTGGGGCTGGCTGCCCTCACTGCTCGGCCTTGAGTTTTCTACTAGCGGTGTTGCGGCGCCATCAGCAGCGTGAGCATGTAGAGCAGGGAAGAACTTGTGGAAGCTCCTAGTTGTAGTGGTGTGTGCGTGTGCGTGAAAGTGCAACAACAAAACAAGGAACTAAAAGAAGAAAACGTAAGAGGGGAGTCTGGGAAGTAGCAGCTGTAAGAGACCACAAACAGAAAAAAAAAGGATTTTTTTTTTTTGGCTGATGCGTCCCATTTATTACTATTATTTATTCGCCATCTATCCTACACGCCTTCTCGTGTCCTTCACGGTATGAGGGAAGCGATGGGCGTGGCGAGGTATCCCGCGTGACCCCCTGACGAATGAGGAGTCGCACAGTTCTGCTGCCGACGTCACGTGCCCGCCGCAGGCTTCCACGCACTCGCTACCCAACTCCTTCTACACGTTCTGACTGAACTGCCGCCTCCCTCCCTTCCTCATATACGCACACACATGCCTATCGGCTAACAATAGGTAGCAATATCTATAACACGAAGAATAGCTACAGAGGCAAGAGCAACCAACAGCGAAAGCGATATATACGCCGTTCTCTCCAGACTTACAACAAGAAATATGGGGTTCGATTTCTCATGCATCTCGCAGATATTTGGCGTCGTGCAAAAGACACGCGCGGCCGGGGGTGGCATCAACTACTTCGATATCGGCAAGCAGCTAATCAAGATCGCGGGGCCGTACATTGTGCAGTACCTTGGCGAGGTGCAGCGCCCGCCGAAGGTTGATATCGAAGAGGCCTTCAACGACGCAAGTCAGGCGGAGAGCTTCAAGCCGTGGGAGGGGCCAAGCCACGAGGGTGGTACCGTTCGTGTGCTCCTCATCGGCATCAACTACTACGGCACCAAGGCCCAGCTCTCCGGCTGCTGTAACGACGTGAAGCAGATAATCGCCACCCTGCAGAAGAAGAAGTTCCCAATTGACCAGATGAGCATTCTTGTCGATGAGCAGGGCTTCCCTGGCCGCACCAATCAACCGACGCGTGCGAATATCATCCGTTACATGGCGTGGCTCGTCAAGGACGCCAAGCCCGGTGATGTGCTCTTTCTTCACTACTCCGGCCACGGCACACAGACACGTGCGGAGAAGGACTCGGAGGAGGAGTATGATCAATGCATTGCTCCAGTTGACTACGACACCGCGGGCTGTATTGTTGACGATGACATCTTCGACATCCTCGTCCGACGTCTTCCGAAGGGGGTGCGCTTCACTGCCGTGTTTGACTGCTGCCACTCCGGCTCCATGCTCGACCTGCCATTCACATTTGTGGGCAGCCGAGGTCTGCGGAGTGCGTCGGTTGGCCACATGCAGCGCATCCGCCGAAACAATGATGCGGTGGCCGACGTGCTGATGATCTCCGGCTGCGCGGACGAGCAGACGTCTGCCGACGTGGGCAACACCGCCTCCTTCGGGACGGGCTCGACGGGTGCAGGTGGGGCGGCCACGCAGTGCCTGACGTACACGCTGCTCAAGACCAATCACCTCTCGTACCATGATATGCTCATTGCCACCCGGGACATGTTGCAGCGGAAGAGGTTCAAGCAGGTGCCGCAGCTGAGCTCGTCCAAGGCGATTGACTTGCACCAGGAATTCTCCCTTACGAGACCGTTTGAAGTGGACGCGAGTGTCGCCTAATGCCTGAGACTGAATGTGTGACATAATGTGGAATGGCGTGTTGTGTTTCTTGTAATTACACCGTCTGTGGTGTGTTCCTGCTCCGCTTGTTTCTTTTGCGTCTGCCTCCATGTGCTTTGTGTGTATAACGGCGCGGCGTGTTATGTAGTCTGCCCACTCCACATTCCCCCGGCGCGAACGGGTGAGCGAGACGCTCACGTGTTGTCGCGGCTTGGTTGAGGCATTTTGTTCGACGCCACCACCCCACGGGATGCGCACACGCACGTATCCACTGATATACATAAGCGCATGTATATGACTATGCATGCGTGCACTATATATACTACGCTCTGCCTTGATGGAAGTTCCGTTGATGCAGTTGGAACCCGTAAGGGTTCAAGGTAGGCTGAATAATGTAGCCTCACGCAGGCATGTAAGATGGCATTCTTTTGCGGCTGTGCCATTGCGATAAAAGATAGTCGATATTTTCGTGTGCTTTTTTCCTTTTTTTTTTTGTTCTTTTTCTTTGGAGGGATGGAGGGAGTTGGAGACTCGCTCGGTTGTGTTGCTTGGTTCATCTTTATTGCTTATACTCGCGGCGCTGCACGCGGTGCCGTCTGTTGTTGCTGTTGTTGTTGTTGTTGTTGTCCGTGGCGATGGAGCAGCGCAGGGGTATCGCGCGACTGCTTCTCTTCACTGTGACACGTGCGTGTGGTACCGCAGATCGTGTATTTCCTGCCTTTTTTTTTTTTTT